CACTCCCTTATTTCTCCCTCCATATGTACCGACCGTTCTAAAAACGTTGATGCGTACAGTAGCAAACTGGACATACAATTCCTGCATTTCATCTCTCAATCAAGAATAATTTATACACTGTCCATGGTTTATGAAAGTGATACCCCAAAAGTGAACAGATGTATTCTTCAAGTGGAATTTGACATGGTATTTCACTGGCTATGATGCTCGAGTGCTGACCCGCACATCGCGGGATCCAATCTCAAACACGGCGGTTGCATTCCCGATGGAGGCAGAAATGTTGTAGGCTCATGTACTCAGATTTGAGTGCACGTTAAGAACCCCAGGTGGTCAAAATTTCCGGAGCCCTCCACTACCGCATCTCGTAGGGCAGTTTCGGGACGTTAAACCCACAAATCAATCATTATTCAATCAATTAATCAATCAATTTTTGGTAAGAGCTCTGTTTCCACCATGTTTGTACTGGCATAAAATGTTAACACCGTGCGCATACAGCTAAGATTCACACCTGATTCCAAGTTCAGCCAGTTTCGTCGCACATCTCAGCCAGCCTATTGTTCTAACGTTTATCCCAGTGCCACCTGTCGCGAAAGGCTCGTCATCTGCAAACGTTCGTGAGTGTTCTTTCGTCATTCTTGATTCAAGTTGATGGCACCAGATGGTATAGTTTACACGCTATATTTTTTTGCTATATTTTTTGAAGCAGAAACAGCTACGGCTGGTAAGTAGTGACGTTTCTGTTCTTTCTTTCTTTTTTTCAAATCAATCCTCTGTGGAGGAATGAACGAACCACTGTGGTAGGCTGACCATACGGAGACCTATCGATTGCGAATGAGGAAGCAGCGATAAAAACAAGAGCGAAACGTTTTCAGTTGAGAAAGATAGAAATCGAAAGATACACCAAAAGGATGCACAGGAACAAAGGAACGGCGCATGGCGGCGCGCACGCCTGAGTTGAAAGTCGCGTGACGAGCGTCGACTTCGGCTGTGGAGGCACCCGCCGGCGACGTCGGCCAGCTACAGTAATTCGCCGACTGAAAAGTGCGCCTTGTATCGAACTGAGCCCCGTCGCTAGCTGGCATTCTGTCCAAACTCGCACTAGGGTGTCCTTTGTTTCCCGTGATGCTGTGTTCCATTTGTAATTCAATAATAAGAATAAGAAGAAAATAATAATAATAAATAATAATAGAATAATAATAATAATATAATAATAATTATAAGAAATAATAATAATATAATAAGTAAGTAGTAGTAGTAGTAGTAGTAGTAGTCGTATAGTAGTAGTAGTATACATATAAAAATATATTGTACGGGTTCCGCCTTCTAAAGAACACGTTATAATTTTGAGGCTCATCACAGAGAAGAGCTATCAGTTTCGCCCACCTGGAGATCGTTAGCTCGCGCCTAACGACGGGTGTTCGTGATCAGTTCCCGTTAAATGTCATCGCCGCGCATTGTTTGGAATCAAACACGCTCTCTCGAGCTTAGCCATTTGCAAGTCATTGAAGCATTGATAGCAAAGGAGGAGCAGGCGCCGCAATTTCAGGCGCAGCGTAACGCAGGCATCTCCATACGACCTTCTGTTACTGGTGTTACGTAATAGTTATCACGAACGATGTACTTGTAATCTACATTGGTCGACTATCATTCTGAATGGATTGTCATCGTCGGCTGGCAGATGCCGATTGCCACAAATAGTGTTGCGCTACAAAAATAGTGGCACTTTAGTGAATTTTTTTGCAGGAAAAAAGCATTATGTAGTTAACTACGTTACGTTAGACATGGGTGCCACCCCATGGGGTTGTCGAACAAGCATTTTTTTCCCTAATATTGCATATTTGAGGTCACGTTTGCAATACTAATAGGAATTTGGCAAATATTCTTTTGCTCGCTTAAATTCTGACGCTATCCCTGTTTTTCTACACTCAACGCAAAAACATGCCTCCATCAACATTCTGCCTGCATGCACAGCCACAAACACAGCATGCGTGACTCAGGCAATCTGTGTGAAATGCAAATATTTTCTAAAATAATATTTTCATTTAATCTTGATCAATGTGCTACACAGGTGGTGTGCACGCATATTCCTTCTTACCCTAATAATATAATTTCTGGGTTATTACACACCAAGATAGAGAGAGAGAAATGAAGGAATTACCGTGATGTTAACCAAAAGAAGACTACCGTGTGCTTGGATGTAAAAGAATGAAAGATAAAAGGAGTTTGTGACAGTAAGCGACATAATGAGCAAACAAGAAGTCGTGACTCTAGCACTGCCTGAATAGTTCGCGGCGATATCGTCCGAAAACAGTCACAGTTTGTCACTCAGTCCGGTTGTTTGAGGAAACTGCGTCAACGCCCTCAGAGCAGTTCGTGGTTGAAGACCGGGTAGAGTTCAAGATTTTGTAACCACGATAGATCAAAACACGTCGTTGTGGAGGCCACTAGATCATTTTTTGGTCAGTTGGTTCTCTGACCATAAACCAGTAGGTACAGAAGTGTTCTTGCATATTACGTAGTCCTACATCGAAACGCGACCGCCGTTGCCATGATCCAAGTCGTAAACAAGTTAGAAGTTACACAAAGAACGAAGTTTGCGCAGGTTCATCCTACTGTTCTTCTCATGTAAGGCTGAATATTAGATGAGAGAGAAAGACAAAGGAAAGACAGGGAAGGTTAACAAGAAAACTTCAGCATTGCTACTCTGCCACTTCAGAAGTAGTACAGGGGGTAAAAAAGAAAGCAGTCTGTGACAGCAGTAAAAAAAATTAGAGGTTTATTATATATGACTATGTAAATTTGAAGAAGCAAAGGAGAGGACTTGCCCCTGGCAGGGATTGAACCTGCGACCTTCGTAATACCGTGTCTAATGCTTTACAGCCTCGTAGGCGTTATTCGAAGATCGCTGGCTGGTCCTTACAGGTGGCACGTTCTTTTTTCGTACCCCTTTATTCTTTAAATTTACAATATATACAATTGTTATCAATAACATCTCTATACATTCTCGACATCACTGTTCAGTTACGACCACCAGCCGACTTGTCGTCTTTTGTGTGGGGTTACGAAGGCATATATGTAAAACTTTAATTTGTGTGACCGACAGTGCGGCACATATGAGATCTGTGGCACCGAAGAACACATTGATCATTTGTTGTGCCGCTGGCCCCTGTTTGCCTCTGAAGTAAGAATGATTTCGGGTGTGATGCGGTGATCGGACGATCGGCCGCTCTCTGTACAGGTGCTGCTGGAGCAGAATCTGTGCAAATCACTCGTAGGACAACAAGATAGTCAAAGTGCTATTGTGTTGCCTAAGGACCATGGGCCCTCAGGACCACACAAGTGCAAGAGTCTTTGCTGATAATTTTCCTTCGATATAATCTTTCTTTTCTTGTGCTCCCTTTGTCTCTCTTATCTTCCCCTTTCCCTTTTCCCCAGCGTAGGATAGCCAACAGGACTTCTGCCTGTAAACTTCCCTGCCTTCTCTCACTTAGCGCGATACATTATAGAGCTCGTTACGTAGAAATTCTGGCGTCGGCATTGTCAGTTGTGAGTGAAAAATTATCAGTGACCCTCTACAAAAGGCCCCCATGCTACTGCACCTGTTTTAAGGCCACGCAGTGAGTGCATAGCAAGTTTAAAAACGTTTCATGCACTGTTTGAAGTACGCACTTTAGAAACAGAACCCTTAAAGCCGAAGCTTTAGGGTCCCCTAATATTTGTTCTTCCTTTCACTGTCTGTCAGTTAATATTGTGCCTAGCAAAAAAAAACAAAAAAACAAGCTGCTTAATTTCGACTTTTCCGTCTCCTCTAGATTGTGTTGATCACGACAGGACACAAAGCTTCACACTTTGCATACTTTGCCAAATTTGATGCACGGTCATGTATGCGCCAGGAATGAATGACGGTGCGCAGAGTGGACATTTAAGTGATATCGCGGTGAAACGTTGCTGCATTACATTTGCTTCCGAAGTTCAGTAAATATTTAGTGTTTTCTTTTCAAACAATCAGAATTTATTGTAAAGGAAATTTATTTTGTATTGGCACATCGGGAAACACCTCACAAAGCAAAGGTACTCTACATACATTATTTAGTTTTGCTTGCACATCAGCTACTGAGAATCCACATTGTTTCGCTGAAAGGACAGTAATATAGAAATAAAAGACAAATATTAATTAAACAACGTGTTAGACATTCAAACAGATATTATAAATGCACAATCTCGGTGAACGATCTCATATTTCAAGACAACGAAGTCAACTGTAGAGATTAGGTTGCAAGGAGTTTAATAATCAACATTATATGAATAGCCACCTTGGCGAGGAGACGTTGTTCAAAGCAAACAGCCGAGTGCATTTTATGTTTGTTCTTTTGTTCTTGGAAGAAACAATTGTGCATCCGGTTACAAGGTAAGGAACAGGGGGAAGAAAATTCTATTAAACGAGAAATCGGAGCCCCGAATTTTACCAGCCAGGTCGGAAATCAATCAAGACTTGCGCTTCGAGATCCCTAAACAAAATTTATAGAGAAAAATAAAAGTGTTCGAAGTAAAGCTGTGTCGTTTTAAATTAAAAGGTACCGTATCGTTGTCAGCGCACATTTTCCAGCCCTTTTTTGTCTTTTTGTTTTTTTTTTCTTTATCTGTATGACTTTTCTTTTTTCAGCTACATCGAGTGAACATCAGCTTTCCGCCAATGTTCTGTTAACGCTGAATCTCTATAGATGCTTCAGAAGTTTCAGTGTTGTTCAGGTGATCTTGTTTTATCGGCGCCAATTTCACTTCCCACTAGCAATTATTGCGAAATAAGCACATCAAAGAATACAATGCTTCTGAGAGTTGATAAGACGAAGGCGCTTTTTTCCAGCAAAAGTACCTTTCACTAGCATGCAGGTTTTGGGTTTCGTAGAAGGCAAAAAGCAATGAAATCGTTTTATGGCGCTCTGGTGCAATTGAAATCATTCGAAAGAGCGAAACATAGTAGGACGTATTGTTATTTTCAGGAAAGTAAGAAGGCGGAACGGAATGGCAGCTGGCCGGTGCGAAGACTGGGAACTCATGAGGGAGAAAAGAAATCGAAGAGACAGAAGGAAACGTGAGCTTTTAAACGAGGAAGCAGTTACACGGACGCAATGTGATGTGCGACAATTGTCTGCAAGTCTGTTTGCCTTACATCAAAAAAGCTCAAAACATCGCGTTCAACAGCTTCTATAGTGACCGGCTCTTCTTTACGATGAAAACCAGGAGGACACAGTAATAAAACACGCTGTAGTGGGGAACTCCACATTTATATCGGCCACTTCGGGCTTTTTTCTTTTATATACAAAAAAGAGGGATAGAGTTATATATGTCTGCATCGCATGTATGTCAACCAGTAGCTTTCTATTTTAAGAGCAAAGTTATACCAACGGTGCATAGTATTCGCAGTAGCATTATTGGCTCCAGGCTTTGTGGTCACAGGCACATCAAGATACTACAGGCTGTATTGTAATGCGCTTGAAATGTATGCCATGGCACGTAACTCTTCGTTCATTCCAGCGACGCAGGCGGCGCCACGCAGCTTTCCTTCGAACCTCGCACACGGTGATCAGTCTGCGACGCAGTTCGGTCTCGCGGTATTCATAAGCGATGATTCGTTTTCATTCAAGCATCTATGCGTCTCTTTAGCGAGAGGAAGCGTGGCCTGCAACAAAAGTAGAGGGCCTGACAAGTTTTGCTGCCTGAGAAGCGCATGCACCTCAGCACTATATGGCCTAGAATATATGTATATTTTAGGCACTATATCAGCGCGGTCTCGTGCGCCATTTTGACCTACCACCGCGCCGCCTATAGTCGCTGGAATGATCGAATAACTTCTGGACGTTCCCTCAAGAACAGCAGTGCGTTACGTATTCATTGCACGATAAATATTTAACCTTCGGTCTACCATTTGAAGCGTCACTGCAAGATTTACTTTAGACGAAAATTAAGCGTCTCTTGGAAGCATGCAGTTGCTCACAATCATACCTAAATGGAAATCTGGCGCTGTTGAGTTTCTGATTACAAGGGAATGACGGGATATGTGAGCTTCGAACTTGACTCAGACTTGTATACCTCAAAAACGCGTCTGGCTTCACGTTGAAATGTTTGATTTTTTACTAAAAAAAGCGCGTAATAAGCTATTTTTGTCATAGCACATAAACGTGTTTTTTAACAGTAGAACTTTCTTCTACGTTGATGTACAATTTTACGAAGCGTAGGAAGTAACCAACGGCCGCTAAACTTGGCAGCCAGACGACAAATTGAGCGTTCTTTTCGCCTCGTTTATGTAGTCTGTTTCGTTCCTTCGCTGTTTGGTTGTGCCGTCAAGGTGAGTGGACTTTTATTTTAAATAATATTACGCGTGAATGAGATCCGCTTATAAGCGTTTTGTTTTAGAGAATCTTTATTTACGCAGTCGTACTTGCTTTTGAGCCGAAGCCTCGCTCAACATCAACCAACACAAGCTTCGCAGACACATATACCATCATTCCCAGTAGTTGAACATCGCCCCTTAAGAAATTCACGTAGACGTTGGCGTTACACTTCCCTCTAGGTATTTGTGAGAAACACTATGCTTGGAGGCATATCATTGTGCGCTCTCCGTCGTTTTAATGCGATAGGGTGAAAGAGCTCGTGGCGCAGAAAACACGCCGCCAGCGTCAGTTTCATTGGTTGTGATCAAAAAATTGTCTGTGCGTCTGTGACCAAACAATCAAGTTACCGAGAAAGCCGCGGGAGGCCGCTACTTGCCATGCGTGCGTACGCGATCACAGTGAAAAAGCCGCGCATTCGAAGAAAAAAAGTGCTCTAGGTCACGAGGCGTGGTAGTTTCTTAGCTCTGCCACCCCTTTTTGCTTAGCTTCCAGTGCTTTCGTCGAGACGAGAGAAGAGATAATGCAATTTCAGCAGGCGACAAACCTTTGTAACTACCCTCGCACTGGACGAATTCTTAAACTTTTTGCGGCATTGAATTCGTGAGGCAATAAGCTCTTGTAGTGAATTAATTCCATGGTTACTTGAAAAGGTGTTTCAAGACCCCTTTAACGCATTTCGTTCGACAGGTGTCACGACGAAAACGAGCCCAATCGACGATAATAGCGCGCGCTGGTCCAATCTACTGCGTGTGTGTTTGTGTGCGTGCGTGTGTATGTAACAAAACATATGAATAAGTATGCACTTAGCGGCTGAAGGGTGCACTAGGGTCCGGATTTCGCTATCGCGTTCAACTCATAAAGGCGAAGCTTAAGGGTCCCCCCATTTTTTCCTGGTGGCCATGATCGATGAGCGAATGCATTCATTGTGGACACTTGTTGTGATGTGCCACTGTGCTCATTACAAAGCCACGGAAGCCGCAGCTAGTTTTCAGTATGCGCTTGCTCTAGTTCAGTGCAAATAACACTGGCCTGTCCGTACGAGTATTCACTTTTAGGGCTGCAGTGCAACAAATGAAGTCATTGCACTGAAAATACAAAGGAAGAGGGCGGGACATCGGGAATGTTCTTCCTGCACTTGTATATCTCTCCCTCTAACCTCATCGTAGCGAACCGGAGATTCACATCAGCTTAATTTTGCTGCCTTCCTCGTTCTTGTAAGTAACGCTTTCTGTATATAGCTGGTGATGGAAGAAGGTATCCTGAGAAAACATTCCTCAAAGGAAAGTATGTTCGGTCACTGTGCTTCTATAAAGACATTTGTTCTAGATGTTCTAGATTACAGAATAGCGGCGTTGCAAGGACTTTGTCGTATACTGTGCTGGCGGACTTACTGCTAGAAAGACGTGCACATGTGAAAGGTACGAGAGTTCTGGTAGGGCTCCTTTTTACATTAATTGTTCGGGGGAAGACAGCGCCGACGACAAGACGTCGAAATACGAAGATTCGTCCTTTCGCCGTCCTGTGTTTAGCCCTCTTAGTACACTGCACGCGGGGTGCCAATCCGTGCGTCGTACCCTGCAGGAACGCGATGGTGGTCGGCGAGGTACAAAAGGTGATACGGCACATCGAGCGGAGGCAACTCGCGCTGTGGTGGCAGTCCCGAGTCACGCATGCATTCAAGTGAACGGCAGAGAAGTGCCGCCGGCATCCCGTGTCATCGATTAGCGCTGTCACGCGACGCGCTCTTTCCCATCGATCGCGAGCTGCCGTGCTTGGTCGCTCCACTTTCGGTTTCAAAGTACGCCGCTTATCGTACTCGCCTAAATAATATTCTCGCGAACTGTGCAAGCGCCGCCTCGTCCACGGCTGTGTAGAGCGCGTAAGCAGCCAGCCGGAATTGCTCCGCGGGGTGACACCTTGCGGTGGTTGCGGACTCTCACGTGGTCTGCTTATATAAGAAAGAATCGGTTTAGAGAGGGAAAACCGTAGCTTTGACAACAGTACGAAATATAAGCAGTGGTAGCGCATGAAACTACTGAGGGCACTTTAGAAATGGCGTTACGTAAACAGGAAGGAGAAAGTGAAACTCAGATTTTTTTTGGGGGGGCACAAAAAGAAAATGTTTGCCATTTTTATTCGGTGCCTGCTTTGTATGCGCATACGTAGGTGCCTGGCTGGTTCTTCATACTCTGGTTATCTTTTTTAAACAGATGATGACGAAAGAGGCCAGGTCTATCTCGTTATCTATCGTCCGCTTGTTTTAAGCGCATCCATACCCCCAGTAGCGCGTCAGAGCACCCTTTGGAAAGCAGTACTTGTGGATATAACGGTATCATGAAACCTAAAGGCATACATTGGCCACTGGCACCAGTAAAAACAATACACGAGTGAGTACAGAGGACAATATTTTTTATTGAAGGCCCGGCCGCAATGCCGTAATAAATATATATATATATATATATATATATATATATATATATATATATATATATATATATATATATATATATATTGTACAGAAGCCGCCGAACACTGAAGTGGGTCGAACTCTTATGTGCTTTCTAGTGGGTCTGCCCAAAGAGAACGCCGCTCGCGCGGAGACCCCGTGTTTTGGCCGTTACTGTCGCCATTGTGTAGACTCGCTGTGTGCCGGCTAATAAACGCCATAACAAATTGGTGGAGAGTGCTACGATCCCCTTCGATGCGCTTGGAACTACGCTCACGTACGCTGCAATCTACCATGTCCCACGACGCCTCTCAGCAAACGCCTCCTCCCATGCCACCCCCATGTCCCGGTGTCCCCAGGATCCGCGATCCACCCATCTTCACGGGCGCCGATGGCACTGACGTGGAGGACTGGCTCGCCATTTACGAGCGCGTGAGCGTCCCCAACAAATGGGACGAGGACGGCAAGTTGACAAACTTGGTGTTCTACCTTGCGGGCGTTGCAAGTTTGTGGTACACCAACCACGCGTCCGAGTTTGCAACCTGGTCCGGTTTCAAGACTGCTATCACCAACGTTTTTGGCCGCCCTGCCGTTCGCAAGCTGCAAGCCGAGCAGCGCTTACGCGAACGCGCTCAGCAGGCCGGTGAGTCATTCACCAGTTACATTGAAGATGTCCTGGATTTGTGCAAGAAGTCGAACGACAGCATGTCCGAATCAGACAAGATCCGGAACGTCATGAAGGGCATTGACGATGATGCCTTCACGATGCTGCTTGCCAAAAACCCAGGCACAGTAGCTGAGGTCATCACGCTGTGCCAGAGCTACGAGGAGCTCCGCCGGCAGCGTTCGATGACCCGTCGCTCCACACCACGAGATGCAGGGCTTGCAGGCTTGGAAGCGAGCTGTGATCAGGTGGCACTGCTGGCAGATCTCAAGTCCTTCATACGTGAGGAAATCGCGCGGCAGTTCTCTCTCCTGCCCTTTGCCCACCCACCGGCTGCTCAACAATCGGCCACTACCATTCTTCCACCCAACCGCCGAGCGATTGAGCAGGAAATAGCGGAGGTCATGCCTGCGTACCACCCACAACAACTTCCGGCCCCTGCAACCCCAAGTTACTCCCAAGTGGTCGCAAGGCCGCCTCCAGTCGTTCAAGCGCCTGCACCAGTGACTTACGCCGAAGCTGCCGCACGACCTCCGTCCTTTGCAGCGGGTATGCCGGCTGCATATGTTGGCGCAACCCCTCCGCCTCATTTTCAGCCCACCATGCAGCCTTTCCAGACACCGTTCCGGGCGAGACCCACCCCGGCAAACCGATGGCGCACACCCGACAACCGGCCCATCTGCTTTGCTTGCGGTTACGCCGGTCACGTAGCCCGTTATTGCTCTCGACTACAGCCGGCTCCCACTTCTCCTGTTGCTGGCCACCTTAGCCGTTCGTATAACGAGGAACTGCCG